CAGCAGTGATGAATTTTTCTTTCTTTGGCTGCCTGCCACTGAACAAAAGCTAATCTTGCACCTAAACAATCTAGGTATTAAACACACAGGAAGCCTTATCTTCTGACTTATGACATAAGATGACAGACAGAGCTGGTGAAAATAAAGAGACACTGCCCTAATAGCCAAGGGCAGCAACCCTTTAAGTACAGCAGGATTTTTAACACCCAACAAACTCTACATCTTGGCACTAGCAGTTGATGTAAAGCCAGCCACAGATGTCAGGGGAAAATCTGACTTGGACAGTGTAACACAGAAGAGAAACTTAAGACCACACAAAACATGCTTATTCATCCTGTCTTCTTGACACTTACAAAAACAGTATCTGAATCAAGTGCATCTATCCTAAACAAATCCTCAGGTGCTTGTTTCCATTTCAGGTATGCAAAACTGAGTCAGTAACTACTCACCTTAAAATAATTTCTCTGAAAACAGTTTAAGAATCCACAAACAGCATCCTCTTAAGAGCTAAGATTTGAAATTCTTAAAAAAAAAAATAAAAATTAAAAAATAAAGAAACCCACACAGAAACAAAACCTAAAAAAACCCCCCACAAACCAGCCACAAATATGCCCAAAAGATTATTTCCTGACCACTGTTCAGCCAGCAGGTTGAAATGCAGCAGCACCACCTTGATTTAAGCACACAGTTAAGCAATTAAACACTCCCAAGTGCCAAAGCTACAGTTGTGAAGGAAAGCTTTACCATGGCCATTTCTGGACTCAAAAGCAACATATTCAAGTGGAAAGCTCTGCCATTTGTGTATGGAAAGTCCACCTCAATTAAGTCTCAAGCAACATTCAAGTCCTGACTAACTTTGTTTTAGTCAAATTATAATAGATTACCAAATTAAATGAAGAGGGAATTGCTGATGCAACTGTATCATTACAAGAAGTCAACCCTTTCACACGCAGGCAAACAGCAACTACCTCATGTTATGGAAATGACTCTACCTTAACAGTGATGTACGCACCGCACCACATAACGAAACACTGCTGCAGTGTGGTTTTTTTTTGTTTTGCAATCAGCAGCCCAAGCACTCCGAAAGGCTTCACACAGAGAGAGTGCAGCATTCACATAGGAGGAAGGCCTTAAAAACGTTAAAGCTTGTTCAGTGGAAAGTTTCCTCATCGCTGCATTTTTCAGTAACAAAGATGTTGTCAGAAATGACAATTTTTCGTGTCCCCTGATGATGCCTTGCTAGCATTTGGTTATAAGCCATAAAGCAGGAATAATTTCAGCCTGTCAGGAGTCTAGCTAATGCCCAGTTTCCCCCTAGAGAGAATTCCTGTCAAACGTAATGAGAGCTCCAAAGGCCCTCTCTACAACATAATGAGCACTTAGGCCATGCTGGTGATCAGCCAGCAAAAAGCATCAATTTGAGTCTAGCTACACCCTTGGGGCTAGACGTCACCAGTTTTAATAAGAATTATGATTACGATCTGCCAAAAGCCTCCTCAGAACTTATCGTTAGTGGTGGAAATTCAGAAGAATGTCATTGGTACGTTTTTTTGTTTCCTGTAATCTAAGATCACCTACATACTGAACCGTAACACCATTTGGCATCCTCACTGCAGGCGTCTAAATCAAGTGTCTTCAACATGAAGGTGCTACTTTTATCGGAAATTAGAATTACTCTAAATGTAAAAGCACAGTATCTGAGACTCATATCCAGGGATATGTATTTATGACTTCAAAAGTTTATCTTTTTCTTAACAGAGCAAACGTGCTCTATTCTCCCCAGCTAGAAGCAACATAGGTATAATGCTCTGTCATAAATCTTAAAAGCTTCCAAAGTATCACTGCCTACTGAGTATGTAATTATAGTTGCCATACATACAGAACATTAAACCCTTGCAATACACAGATGTTAAGGTCAAAGTGGAAACCTCAGTTCTGACACTCTTTAATCTTGTGGGCTTAATTGATTTTATCTAAAGTTAATTCCTAGTACATATACTGAAGTCACACGTTCTCTTCAAAGATCTTCTGAAAACAACATGCATTTCACACCAAATGAGGCTCCTATACAGATGTTGGCTTGCTCACAGGTTACAGGGTGCCAAACAGTTGTTTGGAGAAGAAAAAAAAAAAAATCCAGGAAAGAAATCTCCAAATCACAAAGCCTGGGAAAAAAATTACCTCACAGGAAAAGTGACGTTCTTGTAAAACACAAGACACAAGAAAACTAATGCTGCTACAGTACAGAAGCAAGTCAAACATTATTCTAGTTGTTCTGTCTACCTATTTGGTACATTACCTCAAAAAAAATGAAGTAGTGGTAATGTTTCTTCTTTTACAAGCATTTTGGATTCAAACAAGTTTAGGTCTAAAAAAACCAAGATAATACCTACCCAGCTTTGCAGACAGAAAGTCATCATGGAATTACAATACCATCTTATCAAATATAATATTTTTAGGGGAAAACAAAACAAAAACCAAAGAGTTCAGAGTTACAAAAGCAAAATTCAACTCTGCAATTCACTTGCTTAATGAAAGTCTTTGAATATACTGAAGATCCGAAGCCTGAACTAATCAATTTCTTCGCTGTGCCCTAGCCGGTCAGCCATGCTCTTTAATTTAATGAAACAAGAATTTTAGATGAAATAGCACATACACATCAAGAAAGAATTGTATTGTTGCACTTTGAAATGTGTCCAACTGTGCAACTTCATCTAATGATAATTTTTTTTAAGAGGCCATCGATTTCTGAAAGACTTATTGTACCAGCATCTTGATGAAAAAGTGAATGTCAGCATATCTACAGAATACTTACACCCTGCCATTAATGCTTTATTTGGCAGACAATGACTACTCAATTGAGGGTCCTCTGGGCTGAGCAATCATTTAGCTTTTCTTCTCTTATGAGGTCCTTAGTGTCTTGTTCCAGTTCAATACCCTTTTTATTCACCATTATAGTGGCCATAAGTGTGAATTTTATGGGAACTTGCAAACTCATAGTCATAACTGGAGCTTTCCAAGTCACTAATCTTTTCATACCTTTAAGTGGCAAGGATTTGAGCAACTATCACTACATATGCTACACACGCATAAGACTGGTTCCACATATCAAAGGCTCTACCACTAACAAAATAAACCACGTAAAGCACTGAATTACATTTTTGAAACCACAGACACAAGACCTTTCCTATTTTTCTTAGCATCTTTGTTTCAATACCAAGAAAGCCTTGTCACTCAACCTAATCTATACCTCATTTGACAGCAGGTAGGTAAAGGTTTACTAATCACGGCTACAAATCAGCCTATTGATTCAGACACATGATCAGTCATCCAAACATAAACAGAATGGCTACATTTAAATGCACTAGATAGACTGCAGATTTTGTGGTTCAGAAAACAAAATGCCTTACCTGTTTGTGCATTTCAATGTTTAATCCATACGACATTTCATAATACTGCAAATAAAGGAGCATACATTATTTTCTTATGCTGGCTTACTTTGTGTTAGGAGATATTTACTGAAAGAAAGAAAGAAAATACAAATATACTTACCATCACATAGTGTCTCTGCATTTCTGTCTTTTCACTTGCCAGTTTCTCACATTCCAATTTAAGGCTACAAAATAGATCACACTTTAATGTAACTGTTATGTCATTTGTTTTGACATCTACCCACTTTATTTGTATTTTGACAGAAGCAGCTAATTAAAAAAAACCTCATAAACCAACAGGCAAATATAGAGAGAAAGACTTAATTCATACTTTAAATACAAGGGCTGAACAGGAAATTTAAAAGCTACTTCATGGGTGCTGTATGAGACCCAAACTGTCTCCAGAACCCAAACACATACAATCTTCATGCTTTGACAAAGAGGTGCTATGAAGTGGTACAATTTTCAAGCTAGAACAGCATCTGAATTATTCCAAAGTACTTCTCTGTAGTAAAACAGAGGTATTTCTTTGTATGCAACATTTAGTAAATTACTGCCAAGTAACACCACTCAGGTTTACAACTTGAGTATGTCTATAATTCTTAAGTACACTCTAGCTAATGTTATCTTGCCCACAGCTTGAAAATCAGTAATTTTTACTATCATTTACTAGCAAGTTTGTTTTCTGTTTCTGTTTTCATAAATGAAAAGTTGCATTTGGCACTTGCGTATCTCATCACTAACAGTAGTATAATTTTACTACTTTCACTGAGGGCAAATGGCTCAATATTCCCTTTGTTCTCTGACAAACTGATTTATTATTTTTTTTAATGACACCAGTAAGCATCCTAGGGAACAGTTGGCATGTAAGCTAGCATTTTTCATTCATAGCTGCAATATCAAAAGTTTATAGTTTACACTGCATTTCTAAAGTAATAAATGGCTTAAACAAGTTAACGATTTTAGATAAGACTAAGACTACAGTATCATAAGAAAGGATTCCTAATCCAAACCAAGCGATTTCTAACTGAGAAACCTGCAAAGCTTTTATTTCTATCCAGATCTTGCAGGTGCATGCAAGTACGAAATTAAGATTAATGCCCCTTAAGGCCAATCATCCTGCATATGCAAGAACCCATACCCGAAATCTCTGTAGGGACCCCAGCAGCAAGCACAAATGCAACAAGAACGTCTGACTGCCAGCACCGCAATCAGAAACGCATGCCACGGCTTCAGTTTCACATCAACTTAAAGCGTTAGTACTCCAGTACTTGTGTGCTTTAACAATCCTTCTTGGCTCTTTTAAGCACCGCGTGTTGGCATTTTGTTAATCTTTGCATTAACACCACGCGTAAATGAGCAAACGCGAGAGTTAGCCTCCTCAATGCTCCGTGCCACAGAATTACCTCAGGTCTTCTCTCGATATACTTAAAAAAAAAATCCTCCGCATAAGGATCCCTTTTTTTTTTTTAAATGCGTACAAGGGCCGACCCGCCCCAGCTTCGACACTACCACCCTTTCGCAGGTGCCCGTGAGGCACACCGGCAGGGCCACCCGCGCAGGGCAGGGCTGCCTCCTCCCGAGCGCCCCGTCCTCCGGGCACCCCCCGCCACCCCTTAC